TAATATATTATTATTTACTGTTTTGATTAATTTATTTTAATTATATATATATTGTGTGAATTTGACAATTTTTTTTCATACAAACAAATAGGTCAAATAGGATGATCCAAGGTTTTTCAATAAAAATTAAAAAGATAACCCAAACTAAAATATAAATGAAAAATATATAATTATCTCCGAAATTATTATAATCGTAATTCAACATCAAGAAATAGTTAAAAAAGGCCTCCTCCAACAATTTTTTTTAAATGGTTGACTGTAACGGCGGACAATTATATAAAAAATTATTAAAATAAATGGCAACAGTAGAAGTTACCGACTCTTCCACAAAAACATTCGTCAAATATGTTTGAAGTTTTAGTCAAAGGATATTTCCGTCATTTACCGAAGGGCATATTAGTCCCAGAATATCCGCCAATTTTTAAAAAACCAACTCTCAATTAATCATTAACAGACAAATATCCATCTCAACCGTCAATAATTTCCATCTAACGGCATCGGACGGCGCTTAAAAAAACAGGAGGGAAGAAACATAGACCGTCAGATCTCACTCCTCACTCTCCACTCTGCATATATAGCCCTCAGTAGCGTTCATTTACTCACAAATCTCATTTCAATTTCAATTTCTATTTCGTCTCTCTCTCTCTCTCATTTGTAGTTCTCACTCTACTCAGGTAAGTCTATACTCTCGCTTGCCATCTAGATCTACGATTATTCGATCAAATTATTACGAATTTGCTTACTGTTGTTCTGTTTTTTTTTGTTGAAATAATCATTGGATGTTTTTAATTTATTATTAGATCTCTTTATCATATATTTGAAGGTTGTGTTGTGTTTTGGATTAGATCTATTAGCTGTTAGTTAAGTTTGAATTGTAATTCAGTTGATTTTGATGAGTAGTTTATGTTAGATTTTTAATGAACATACTAGAGTTTTTGTGCTGTCTTGACATTTAGTTATCTAGAGTGTAATATTAGTAGATCTGTCGTACATTATGTCGTATGTAGTGGTGGTGAGTAATTTTTAGGTTCTTTAACTCGAGTGAAGTTTTTGTGTATGATCTGCAACTTTTTTCAAGATTACTAATGCTTTTACCCACTTGTGTTAACTTTTCTTTTCACTGAAATTGCTTAGAAATATTGGATTTGTTGTTTCAGATTTTTGCATATATATACTGAAATCTAATTAAGTTCTATTGTTTTGACATAATACAAGTAATTTTGGTGCTTTGCAATATGCTTATTGTATCTGAGTTGATATTCAATCAAATAATACGTACTTGAATTTATTGGTTGAATGTTATTTTTAAGTTAAGGTTTCAATGATTTCACTTGTCTGGTACATTTCTCAATTTTGCAAAAACTAAAATTAAGTAACATTAGGTCATTCATGTCTTTGGTATCAGGAAAAATGAGAGAGATCCTTCATGTTCAGGGTGGTCAATGTGGTAACCAGATTGGTTCCAAGTTCTGGGAGGTTGTATGCGATGAGCATGGCATTGACCCAACTGGAAGATATATCGGGACCTCAGATCTGCAGCTGGAGCGTGTAAATGTATACTACAACGAGGCCTCTTGTGGGAGGTTCGTTCCTCGTGCTGTGCTCATGGATTTGGAGCCTGGTACCATGGACAGTGTACGAACTGGTCCATATGGCCAGATTTTCAGGCCAGATAACTTTGTTTTCGGACAATCTGGTGCTGGAAACAACTGGGCCAAGGGTCACTACACCGAGGGTGCAGAGCTTATTGATGCAGTTCTTGATGTTGTGAGAAAAGAGGCTGAGAACTGTGACTGTCTGCAAGGTATAATGCTTTGTTTGAACAGAGTTTTTACTGCTTTTGTGGATTCAATTTTTTTGTTGAGATAGCAGTATGATTTTAGCCAGAGTGCTAAATTAGCACTTAACATCTTGTTGCAAAGACTATTGGCTTTAAACTTTGATTAAATTTTCTCTAATTTCAAACTGAAGCAATATGTAGCCAGTGATGCTGGAAAAGTAATTCAACTGTTTGTGTTCCAGGTTTTCAAGTCTGCCACTCTTTGGGTGGAGGAACTGGTTCTGGAATGGGTACCTTGCTGATCTCAAAAATTCGGGAGGAGTATCCTGACAGAATGATGCTCACATTCTCAGTGTTCCCTTCACCAAAGGTCTCAGATACGGTGGTTGAACCATACAATGCAACTCTCTCTGTTCATCAGCTCGTTGAGAATGCAGATGAGTGCATGGTCCTTGACAATGAGGCTTTATATGACATTTGCTTTAGGACCCTTAAATTGACTACACCTAGCTGTAAGTAACTATAAAAATCTTGTGTGGTGATATATCTATGCATTTAGTTTAGGGAAATGATATAGCAAGTAAAAACATGAAATTGCTTTTGAATGGGTGGTTCTTGAAACGTAAATGTGAACCATGCAAGTCAGAAATGAAAACAAGTACTAATCTGCCACTTGAACTATTACTCTTATGGAGAATGGATAAGTTTATTTTGTCCTAATAAATACACCCTTGTTTGTCTGCTAGATATACACAATCTGAATAAGATTTTGGTTCTGATTTTCACTTAGTGTAATGTTAATGTGGTGGTTTGCGTGTCAGTTGCTGGGGGTCAAATCTAAAGATCGGCAGAAACTTGTTATTGGAAATATTGCTTAAAGTTGGGGACCTTTGATTGTGACATGAATGGAGGGAATGGGTGTTAATAATTTTTTTTTTTTTTTTTTTTTTTGGTTGTTTCATTAATTTATTTATTAATTCCTTTATATGATGAAACCATGAAAATATTGGGGACTGCAGTTTCCTAGTTTTCTGGTTTTATTTAATCTTATTAACTTTTGGGTTGTCATGCATAAGCAAATGATAAGTGCTAAATCATGAATTACTTTTTACTGATGAAAATGACTATTTTTATGTTATCTTTACAGATTGTCAGCTAATGAGACCACAGTTGTGAATTTCTGTGTATGGGTGTCGTTACTTAATAGTGATCTTGTGAACCTTAGTAAAAATTTGCTATTGAAGATTCTTGTTTTACATAACTTATGTTGCCTTTGAGTTGATTGATTAGTATCATTTGTGCAATCTAAGTTCTATGAAGAAAATGTTACATCACTCTTAATTGTGGATTCATTTGTTGTGATGTATTTGTGCAGTTGGTGACTTGAACCACTTGATCTCTGCAACCATGAGTGGTGTCACTTGCTGCCTCAGGTTCCCTGGTCAACTTAACTCTGACCTCCGAAAACTTGCTGTGAACTTGATTCCCTTCCCTCGTCTTCACTTCTTCATGGTTGGGTTTGCTCCTTTGACTTCCCGTGGTTCTCAGCAGTACCGAGCTCTCACAGTCCCAGAATTGACCCAACAAATGTGGGATGCGAAGAACATGATGTGCGCTGCTGACCCAAGGCACGGTCGCTACCTCACTGCTTCTGCCATGTTCAGGGGTAAAATGAGCACTAAGGAAGTTGACGAGCAGATGATCAACGTACAAAACAAGAACTCTTCCTACTTTGTGGAATGGATTCCAAACAACGTGAAGTCTAGTGTTTGTGACATCCCACCCAAGGGGCTCTCCATGGCATCTACCTTCATTGGGAACTCAACCTCCATCCAGGAAATGTTCAGAAGAGTGAGAGAGCAGTTCACTGCTATGTTCAGGAGAAAGGCTTTCTTGCATTGGTACACTGGTGAAGGAATGGACGAAATGGAATTCACAGAAGCAGAGAGCAACATGAACGATCTGGTGTCTGAGTATCAGCAGTACCAGGATGCTACTGCTGATGAGGAAGGTGAATATGAAGACGAGGAAGAGGAAGTAATGGAGCATATGTGAAGATGGTAAATTAGAATGAATTGGTTTGGATATGTGAATGAAGAATATCTCCTTTTGCAGTCTGTATGATATAAGGGGTTGAGAAAAATGTGTATTTTTCTGGCTTCCAGTTAAAATGAAGAATTAGTAGTGGTGGTGGTGGTGGAGAAAGGTGATGATTGATGAATATGCATGCATAAATGTTTGGGAGTAGTAGTGTGTTAAGTTACCTATCTGTTATGGATTTGGTTGTCTTTCTATATTTTTGATTATATTGAAGTCACCGTCTCTATCATTCAGTTTCAGGTTGATGTTATTGGTAATGTGCTATTTGAGTTCTTTCTTCTTTTCTGTCATTCTCATGTTGTATGGTATTTTAACAATGTAATCAAGTAGAATATTTTACCATATACATGTTACAGTAGGAGATGGAGCAGTGATGAGTTAATGAGTGGGCTTCCAAACTAAAGATAAATGACATAAAAGATGTTTGGTTTTTATATGCATCCAAAATACTATTGGAATAAGTTTTTTAGTTTCTTGAAAGTGAGTTAAGCATTCAGAGTGCTTAATTTCACCTTAATATGAAGTGAAATCACATCATNTTTGGGTTGTCATGCATAAGCAAATGATAAGTGCTAAATCATGAATTACTTTTTACTGATGAAAATGACTATTTTTATGTTATCTTTACAGATTGTCAGCTAATGAGACCACAGTTGTGAATTTCTGTGTATGGGTGTCGTTACTTAATAGTGATCTTGTGAACCTTAGTAAAAATTTGCTATTGAAGATTCTTGTTTTACATAACTTATGTTGCCTTTGAGTTGATTGATTAGTATCATTTGTGCAATCTAAGTTCTATGAAGAAAATGTTACATCACTCTTAATTGTGGATTCATTTGTTGTGATGTATTTGTGCAGTTGGTGACTTGAACCACTTGATCTCTGCAACCATGAGTGGTGTCACTTGCTGCCTCAGGTTCCCTGGTCAACTTAACTCTGACCTCCGAAAACTTGCTGTGAACTTGATTCCCTTCCCTCGTCTTCACTTCTTCATGGTTGGGTTTGCTCCTTTGACTTCCCGTGGTTCTCAGCAGTACCGAGCTCTCACAGTCCCAGAATTGACCCAACAAATGTGGGATGCGAAGAACATGATGTGCGCTGCTGACCCAAGGCACGGTCGCTACCTCACTGCTTCTGCCATGTTCAGGGGTAAAATGAGCACTAAGGAAGTTGACGAGCAGATGATCAACGTACAAAACAAGAACTCTTCCTACTTTGTGGAATGGATTCCAAACAACGTGAAGTCTAGTGTTTGTGACATCCCACCCAAGGGGCTCTCCATGGCATCTACCTTCATTGGGAACTCAACCTCCATCCAGGAAATGTTCAGAAGAGTGAGAGAGCAGTTCACTGCTATGTTCAGGAGAAAGGCTTTCTTGCATTGGTACACTGGTGAAGGAATGGACGAAATGGAATTCACAGAAGCAGAGAGCAACATGAACGATCTGGTGTCTGAGTATCAGCAGTACCAGGATGCTACTGCTGATGAGGAAGGTGAATATGAAGACGAGGAAGAGGAAGTAATGGAGCATATGTGAAGATGGTAAATTAGAATGAATTGGTTTGGATATGTGAATGAAGAATATCTCCTTTTGCAGTCTGTATGATATAAGGGGTTGAGAAAAATGTGTATTTTTCTGGCTTCCAGTTAAAATGAAGAATTAGTAGTGGTGGTGGTGGTGGAGAAAGGTGATGATTGATGAATATGCATGCATAAATGTTTGGGAGTAGTAGTGTGTTAAGTTACCTATCTGTTATGGATTTGGTTGTCTTTCTATATTTTTGATTATATTGAAGTCACCGTCTCTATCATTCAGTTTCAGGTTGATGTTATTGGTAATGTGCTATTTGAGTTCTTTCTTCTTTTCTGTCATTCTCATGTTGTATGGTATTTTAACAATGTAATCAAGTAGAATATTTTACCATATACATGTTACAGTAGGAGATGGAGCAGTGATGAGTTAATGAGTGGGCTTCCAAACTAAAGATAAATGACATAAAAGATGTTTGGTTTTTATATGCATCCAAAATACTATTGGAATAAGTTTTTTAGTTTCTTGAAAGTGAGTTAAGCATTCAGAGTGCTTAATTTCACCTTAATATGAAGTGAAATCACATCATACTAATAAATTAAAGAGTAAACCACTTTTTCCTACCAAGGTTTGCCTTAATGGCAATTTTTCACCTAAAAAGTTTCAAATACTTTTTTGTACTTAAAGTTTATATTTTGTTAATATTTAAAGTCAGTTTCGACTAATTCCGGTTGTGAAAATTTTTCACTTCACCACTATTTAAACCTTCGATTTCTTCTCTATAAAACCCATTTTACTCCGACACTTGATTTCTCATTGATTGTTAGCCATCGCAAATCTAAGGTTTCTTGTTCTTAGCTTATTTTTTTGCTGATTACGACAGCGAATATTCAATTCGTCACCACTATTCGATCTGCCGGTCTCCACTCTACAAAATCCCTCTTACCCTAGCTCTTGGTAACTAGCCAAACGTCGATTGAAAAGCTTTGTTTTAAAAATCAGACCGGACCGGCCGATTGGATCAGTTTGACTGGGACCCGTTAGCTTCTCCGGTCTAGTTCAGGTCTCAGGGGGTTTTTTTGTAATGTTTCAAAATTATAAGGGTTAATTGTAATTTTATAGGGGTGTTTTGAAGATATGTCAAAAGTTTAGGGATTAATTGGTAATTTTTTGGGGTATTTTAGAAATAAATAAAAATTTTAGGGACTAATTGAACTTTTTTAGGGGAATTTTTGTAATATATTGAAATTTAAGGGATTTATATGTAATTTTTAAAAATAAAATTATCGCTGACATTATCAGTCCAACAGGCTAGTCCAACCGGTTGGACCGGTTAACTCTTGACTCGGGTAGCAAAACGGGTTACCCTTCGGTGCGGGTTTTAAAACAATGCTGAAAAGTGAAGTGTAATTTAGATATTAACAGAATATAAACTTTAAGTAAAAAAGTGGTATTTTGAAACCTTTGTGGTGGAAAAGTGTCGTTGAGGCAAACCTTTGGTGGGAAAAAGTGGTTTACTCTAAACTAAAACTACAATTACTTTTTATGAAACAATGTGAGATTCCTCATTTGAACAACAAATTTGATTTATAGTGTTTGTATAAATAAATCAAATCACCCTTTTGTTTTCATTAGACTTTAAAAATCAAATTTTTTCTTTGTTATAGCATTCAAATTTCTCTAGTGTGAAAACCCAAAACAATTTGGAAGAGTGCTTTTCACGTGTTGGCTGCTTAAAGCATTAATTTGGTCGTCGATCGCCATTTCTCTTATAAAACAATATTTATCAGAAATTTTACAAAATACTTTTAATAAATAAAGAAATCTTATCTTATTACAATCAAATCTTAAGAATATGGACAGAAGCTATTGATGTTTGATGCATGAACGAAGATAGTGGGCTTTGGGCTTATCTTAAATTTTAATTAATGTCGGCAGTGGGTAGGCCCAACCACTTGCTTTTAAGTCAACATTTCACATTTTATTTTTCAATTTGTCACATCATTTCCCTATTAAGGAGGTTGAATTGCATTCATTTCATTTATGGATTTTTTGTTTTTCATATTAAAAACCCTTTTATCTACATTTTTAAAAGCACTTTTAACGATGTCAAAATCACTTGAAGAAAAGCACTATTAGCTTCTCTATAATGGAAGAGACATGAAGGTGATGTTAGTTGATAAATTAGACCTACATTTATTAATGTAATTCAAGATAAAATAAAGATAATCCGCAATTATCATAGATTATGATTACGAGTGTCGGTGATTCCCAACACCTTATTAACAGTAATTAGTAATAATTCACAATAAACTGGAGATAGCCACAAAAGAATGATAGTTTGTGTCTTCTTCCAAATAATATATTTTTTTTTTTTATCACTAGGTTATACAAGTCCATTTGCATGTATCTTAATTAATCTCATAAAACCCTGAAAGTCTGATTGAGTAATCCTTCAGTGATCACCTCTATTTGGATCTAGGTGGACTCAAATTCGGGAGCTTAGAGAACCTCATTTTGTTCTTTTACCGTTTCATAATAATTGTAAGAGATTAATGGTATTTATCTTCCAGAATTATAAACTAATAATATTGTAATTTTTTCTCATAAATTATTATAAAACTAATATTAAATTTGAGTTATTACATACACTCACGAACCACATTAATTTGAAATGCATTCATAGCAGAGATGAACTTAGGAATTAATTTTAGAGAGGACAAGCTAAAAATAATATGACATAAAATAGGAAAAGAGTGAATGAGGGGGTCAAACTAAAAATATTAAATACAAGGAGTGATCAAAGCAAAAAATCAAACTAAATAAATGAAAAAGAAGCTTTTGAGTGGGGTCACCAGCCCCCACTATCATGACATAGATCCGTTCATGATCCATAGTGAATAGAGAATATTATACATCGCATATTGTAGTTTTTCTTTTTCTTTTTTGGATATCTTTATAGGGAAGTTTTTAACAGTTCTAGAGAAGTATAGATAATGCTTTCCGGATATCCACCAAACATAGAGAAAGAGTCTTAACACAAGTTATTAGTTATTAACCACCATTGAGTGACCGGATGGTAAAAGAGTAAAAGAGAATTTAACATGATCTTCCAAGTTCGAGTCTCTTTGAGGGTAAAAGAGTAAGAGGAGGATTTAACATGGTCTCCCAAATTCAAATCCCCACAGTTATTAATAGGAGTGACTATTGATCGATAGTTTCAAGGTCTCGGGAGATTAGTTGAAGAGTACGTAAACTGACTCGGACACTCCTGGTCATAAAAAAGAAAAAGGAAAAAAATATTAGTTATTAGTTAAAGGGAAGATTATAATTAAATACATGTAATTTATGAGTAATACCAAACTATATTTGAAGAAGCTACTAGTAAAATTGAAATATGATGTAAGCATTATGAGTTATTAGTTTGGTTATGGGTTGAGCAAATAAAATAAAAAATTGGTGAGTTTACCTGAAATTTGGCAGATTATAATGAAAATATGGAGGCAAAAATGACAACAACTTGGTTGTTTTATGTTTTGGAAAGCATAATGTAGACTTATAAGCTGCTGCCACCCAACCCATTCATGCCTTTGAAACAGACTTTTGCTTTTCCATTTCATTATTTTCATCACAACCCAACTTGATTTTGATCACCCACTTCATAATTTTGAGACACCACCAACCCCTTTTCATTTATTATAATCTCCTCTTAACCGATTGCACAAACCATTTAGTTAATATGTATAGACATAAATTGAATTATAAAGTATGTATTATTTGATTCTTATAAGTATCCCATCATTTATATCCTAAATATTGTGTTGTCATATACGGTAATAACATGTAAATAAAAATATTAAATGATATAGCAATTAAGGATGTTAGAAACACTTGGCGGGGTTGGATACTTTGCTTGCGATGTGTTTAATTTTTGGTTTCAACAATCTTCGCTCTCAATAATTTGGGTTTAGGGCTAAGGACATGGAGATGATATTTTCATGGGGATAGGGCTTGAGATAGTCGTTGGGTCATTTTTGCCCGCGAATATTATTAGCGGTAATAACAATGTTCATGTATGATGATACATTATTTAGAAGAATGTAAAATTTAAGCTAACAAAAGTAAGATTCGTTTTGTTATAATATAATAGTTGTGAGGTGGATGTAAAAGGCACAATAAATGTTTTTAGCACTAAACAGCAAATGGATGGGAATTAGATAAGGAATATAGCATATTCATTATTCACAACACAACCTACTTTTGACCCTTTGAGTAAAGCTTAGAATAACATTACCACTCTTTTTAGTTTTATACTTTATATATATAAAAATCTTTGGACAAAAGACAGGAAATCTTGCCACTCTTATACATATGCTTTATCTTGGATGGTGATGGCTTAACTTTTTCCAATCTTTATCATTACTTATTTAAGTTTAGTAACAAAACTTTGATTGATGTGATTATTAATATGTTAATTATAGGATTGTATTACCTATCATTCATGTAGTACTGACATATCACTAATCACATCAATTTGGATCTTTAATCTAATATTAGTATTAAAGACGAATGTTTTTTTACTAGGTTAAAACATTTAAAATTAAACACATGAATTGTCACATCCCACAAAAAAAACTAGAGAGTCTAAATAAAGACATTACAAGTAAATAATAGTTACGTGAAACTGGGCCAAAATACAGAGTATATACACCTAAATACATACAACTCCAACCAATAAACTACCATCCTCCAACAATCCAATTAATTAAATGTTTTTCTTAATACAAATGCATTTACATTAGATTATCTTATGTTCAACGATTGTGTGCATTTCCTAAGTTTAAGGATTGAATACCTACTTATAAACACATGTATTAACACACTTTTCAATTTAACATGTTTAGTTTTTAATGACAATATGTATCACATTGAGGTCATTTATTCATTTATGTGTAGATTAAGCACCTCGAAAAGTATTAAAATTATTCACATATATTTACTCATTGGAATGGAAAAATGAATAAGTTATAGTTAATTTCTCATCAAGCAAACAAAGAGAAAAAGAAAGAAAAAAAAAGTCAAAAGAAGTAGGCTAGTGGAAGAGAAACTAAGAAATGATGAGAAAATTACAATTTTATCCCTAATAATATTTGATAAAATAAATCTAGTATAATGGTATTATTTCATAACATTTTAGTCCTTCTTGTCAGCAAGACAAAATTTGGAATTTAAATTTTATAAGACTTCGGAATGAGGCCAAATGTAAGGGACTCACTTGTAGTTATCCCGAAATAAGGATACGATAGTTTGAGCTGTGGAACCCAAAACTCGCGGGTCCGACACGCCACTTGCCGCCACAAAATACGGTTAATTTCTTACATATGTAATACGCCATGCCTTACCTCATCCTTTACCTAATATTTGTAATTTAAACTCCTAATTACCCTTATTAAACATCCGTATCCATGAGGGTAGAGATGGTAATTTGGCTCATCGACCCGGTTCAAGTATTTATTCATTATTTTTTCTTAAATATTCAGGATCTTATAGAGGGGCAACTTCGTCTATTGGTAGTTGAGGGGTTAGGTAATTGAAATAAGTATTGGATTGGTTATGCTTCTATTTTTAATTTCCCTTATTAAATTTTAAGTATTTTTGAGTTGGCCTTCTACTTAAATTATAATCGATTTAATAATTAAAAAAATAAATAAAATTTGATGTGAAAGAAATATTAGAAAGTCAATTCATTAAATACTTAATAAAGAAAAAACAAGATTGAAGGGTTGGATAGATTGGGACATTGGGTTCGACAATATTGTTTGACATAAAACATTTGACTTAAATTACACGTGATTCATGTGTGATTATACATAAATGATTTTTGATGGATTTTTTTATGAAGAAAAATATCAACATTATATTAAGTAAAGAAAATATAAAAAGATTTATTGTTTTAATATTAAGTAAAAACAAACACACACGCATATAATTAATTAATTAATTAAACCTTAGAAGAAACGAAAATGATACTCAGACAATAAAAGGGATAACATTAGATTAGTTTATTAATATAATTTAATTAAGTTAAATTGTTAATCAAGTAATAATATTGGTTGGTTGGTTAATAAAAATTAATTAGATGCGTTGATAGTTTGACGAAGAGGGCAACGTGGAAAAGATGTGGGTCAAAAGTCAAAACTGGACTGCAGATTGAAAAGAAAAGATATACAAGGAAGGAGCCGGCATAAGATTCTTTTACACGTGTCATTATAATTGGTATTCAAGATAGCATTTGACTTTAACTTTTTTACCATTTTAATTTTCGCGCCAAAAAAGTAATCTTCAACTTTTAACTTCCTCCAACCACCTCATCCCATAAACTTCATTAGTTAGGGCTTTATCATGATTTGCTTAAACAAGATAAAATCCAACACATTTTAACTTTATCTTCTCTATAAAAAGCTGCTTACCAAATATTTCTTCCATCTATCACCGTCAATTAGCTGTGGCCGGTTTCTTTTAATAAACTTCAAGTGCATAAGACTTTACCATCTTGACTGAAATTCAATCAAGTATTTACGGAAGAAAGTTGAAACCTTTTACGATATTCGACATCACATATCTTGACATGTATTATAAGATTCGTTCAGTCGGCTACAGAGGGATATTGTTACATTCTTTTCAAGAAAAGCCTTTTCCTCATTCCCTTTGCCTTTACATAAAAACAACACAATTCTGTTCTCCCAACTTTTTCAATCAATTTTTTTACTTCAGCCATGTCTACAGCTTTTTTTTCTATCTTCAACTTCAATTCCTAAAGCTCCTTTAGGATAGATGTAAGATATAAAGTAGGGAAAAAAAAAAACAAAAATACCCGTTCCAAAATAACATTTAATCTCCTTATTTGCTCATACTAAGTAACTTACAGATGAGTATCACAACATATACGAGCACTTATTATGTGCAGAGTTAGCTACATTATCCTGCGAAATAAATGTTCCAATTGTGAGGGGAAAAAAATGTTTAGTAGTCAATCAAATGGGCAAGTACAAATCAAGACTCTTTACAGAAATTCATTCGAACACCAATTTGACAAGTTTGAATGAACAAGAGATAACCCACCCCCTAATTCTATCAAATCAAGTCTCTACGACTCGATGTTCTGAAATGTACGACTAGAGTTTCAAAAGTTGTTTTCTCCGTGTTTCAGAATCAGAATGAACCTCTCTGTCAGGAGTGAACAAAATCTTATTGCTGATACTTGAGAGAGGCAAGACAGTTACCCGAGGGTTTGGTCTTCTCCCATCAGAGCTTTATAAATGGAAGAAACTTGCGAGGCTATCAAAACAGCTCCAAAGTGAAGAGTTTACCGCCGACCATTTGCCCAATGCCTGTTATGGTTCCCAGGCCTCACGTGTGGATTTCTATGGCCAAGTCCTTGCTTAGGGAGATCCTGCCAGTCCATGACTTGTATTGTCCTTTGCTTCTTTGCTGTTAAACACAGAAAAATTACAGTGAAATGTCAGAGTAGCTTGATACTCGCTATTAATGCTGCCAAATATAAACTTGACATCTTGTTTTGAATTTATACCAAAGTTTTCAGAATTTAAACATTGAGTCTATGTCAACTAATCCTTTAAGTCTCATTCTTTTATTTTCTGTTCTCTCTTTCTTCTAAAACAAAAATTCTTGAAAAAACCTCTCAGAAATGTATTTCAAATTCATTCTGATTAGATGAATGAGAATCACGAATCTTTCTTTGTATTAACCACATCCCCCATCAAAAAACAGAATACATAACATAATTTGCAGGGGAAGAGGCAAACCATTTTGAGCTTGTTGATAACTCTCTTGAAGTTTCCTCTTTGTGGCTTCAAGTTTTACTTGGACCGCAATTTCATCTGAAGATTAGAATCTCTAGTAGAACAAGACATATAGGTCAGATAAACTTCATGGTTATTGATTCAAAAATAAATGAATACTTGCACTCACATCTTGTTGACTATTCTGTGGCCTCTTATGGATGGCAGCCTTATCTGTTTTTTGCTGCAACTTTGATTCATTATTTATTCTTTGCCCCATACTTTGCTTGGGAGGTCTACCGGGTCCAGAATTGGTGTTTGGAGGTTTATTAGGTTTCGCAAGAGATTCCTGTCTCTTCACTTGTTGACTCTTATTGTCCCTGGCACGCAAATTCACCTCATCTGTAGTTTGCTGTTTTCGCTTGACAATACTCTGCTGCTCCACTGATGGTTTTCTTCCATTTTCACGGTTCTTGATGAATTCCCCAGTGTTCCGAGGATCTGAAACAACATTCCCCCATTCATAATTATGGATCTTAGAAGTGGGGAATTCAAAAAAAGAACCGAACAGCTAAAGCTATATAAGAGAAGCATAAGAGAATGGAAATTGAACTCACTTCCATCATCATCCATGCCATCAAAAAACTTCACGTATTGCATTTATGGAGACATCCCAAAGAAACATAATCTAGTCAGTATACAGTGATAAAACAAAAATGCAAACCAATTTTGCAATTAAATTTGAAATAGAACGGGAGAAAGACAATACCTGTGAGAGCTCTATTCCAGCGGTTGGAGCAGCAAAGAAAGCTAAATCATCCAGAGGAGGGGAAGGAAGCCCTTCTTCTTCGTCAAGAACAGATGGGTCCACAGAATCTGGTGTACCTTCTGCTACCACTAAATCCATTGATAAAAATAATTTCAAAAACCAGTTTCAATTAACAGAACTGAAAAGTATTATAACAAATATATAGAAATTACAAAATAATTGCGACCATGTTCCTACCTGGAATAGCCTTTGTAGCACTGACCCATTCATCCACCAAATCCTTCCACCCCCTGCAATTCACAAAAGCAGTTTAGAATAACCATCATAAAAATTTTATACTGCATTCAACTATGGCTACAATGAAAATGAACAAAATCAAGCATCATCTCATGCTCCATCACAGAAGTGAATCCAGCAAAGCAGTAATTAACCAACAAACTTGAAGAAGCAAAAGGACACATGATTGATTAAGTAATCAGCATATTTACAGATGAGCTAGAGGAAAATTAAAAGAAAACATCAAACAAAAAAGGAACAGAGAAAACACAGTTGATCAATTTCACTAAACTTAAAACAGCGAGTGTAATGCCAACAGGGCTGTTGATCCTCTAGAATATACATGATGACAAAAAACTATAGATCAAATTTAGCAAACAGCAATACCACCGAGTTCCCTATCAACAAACAGAAAAAGCCCATAAAAAGTTATTGTTATCTACAAGAAACAAACCCATACTCGATAAGAGTTCGAGAAAGATGTCGAATTTGTTTGGAACCATGCTTCCTGAGGCCATTAACAGCCTTCCCGATCTCAGTTGCCTGGAAAGAGGTTGAACTCTATTAGTCCAAAAACCAGAACCAAATCAATTTCTGAGCCAATTCAAAGACTAAAGATAGATTCAATCAAACCTTGAGTGTATCCACAGTCAAAGCCATCAATTGAAGCCTCCTCAAGCAATCAAGCAACACGGAATCAGACTGTAACAAACACAAACCAAAACACCACTAATCAGACAACCAGAAAAGCACAAAATAAACTCTTGAAGAATTCTCAAGAAAAATAAGCCATTCATCCAAACCTCATCTTGGCTGTTGTCAATAATCTCTTTAATTCTCAACACCTCTCCAACAATCTGTGACTTCTCTTCAATCTCATCAGTCAATGCCTCAGCTTCTCCATAGCTAAAATTACTAAGAATCTGATTATCATCATCAATATTCACATGATGATCATTATCATTATCACGATCATCCCCACTACTATTAACCTTACTTTCTTTACTTCCACCGCCTTCATCTCTTTTACAACCAATCATATCATCTTCATCATCATCAGACTCGTTACAGGGAACATTCAACTCCACCCTTTCACAGCCTAAACACCGAGTCACTTTACACGTAAACAACTTCTCCGCAATTCGATCCCTCCTCAATCTGAATTCTTTTGGACAATCCAAAGCAGCCACCATCACCGCGTGGTCGATGATATCGAAAATATCCCCATTTGCAGTACGGAAATAGTTTCTCCAGTTATCTAAAGACCCTGACATGATAAAACAAACAAATCCCGGATCCGATACTGGTCACTTCAGATCAAAATATCGGATTAAAATGGATTTTCATAGGGTCCTTTCAATACCCAGAAATTCAAAATTGAATTTCAGATGAATTCGGGAAGAACCCAGATATTAAAAACTTATTTTCAGACTAATTCGGTCGGTTTCAAATAGAAAACAGAGGATTGAAGGTGCTTTTGCCTATCAAAATGGACTAAGAAAGATTTAATAACAATATTTTTTTTTTCTGGGTTTTCGGATGTCGATGAGGAAATGGATTACGTCAGGATAGGATTTAGAGGATATGATCAAAGAGAACAAAAATTTCTTCTAAGTCTGACACACGAAAACACGAACAATGAAGAAAAAACAACAACGTAGTTCCTTGGAGAGAAAAGAAAAACCAAAGCGCAGTTAGGGAAAACCGAGAAAAGATTTTGGAAATTAAAATTAGGTACAAAACAAGAAAGCTATGAGAGGGTTTTTTTTCTTTTTTTGGTTTTCTGTTTCTGTTTTTGTTTTCCCTGTTCTGTTTCTGTTTCCTTGTAATTTTGTTTTTACAATTACCAGGTGGTGCAAAACGCCAATAGGTTTTTTATTTTATTTTATTTTATTTTTAAAAAAATTGATAAACCAGAAACTCAGTCACTCACTCTCTCTTTCCTCTCTCTTTCTCTAGCAACTTTAATTATTTTAATAAGAGAAAAATGGTGCTTGTTTTGTTCTGTGTATTTGATCTCATCACTCGCAGAAACAAATTGCTTGTAATGGAAAGAGTGAGAAAGTGCGAGAAAGAGAGATAAAATGTTTGCTTTTTTGGTAGGAGTAGGAGATTTGATTTGTTTAATTAATGTTAATATTATTATTATTAATTTATTTTTTTAATTGATCAGATTTTTCATTTATTAATTGATAGTGGATTGTGTATTGAGAGGTTCTAATCTGGGTTTAGCTGGCCACTTTATGGGGTTTGACTCTACTTATAATTTATTTTTTATTATTTTTTTAATTCCCATTCAGCCATTCTTATCTCTTAAGACTCTTACAAATCATTCTTACATTTATGCTCTTTAATTTTATTTTATCTTTAGTTTAATTACCAGAAAATCCAATTTGGTTTTGTATATATTTTTATGTTTATTCCCCGTTAAGAGAGCTATTAAATATCTTCCCATTTTCAAGGTTTTTTTTTTTTTTTTTTTTTTAACAAATCTAATCTCACAACATTCTCTCACAATCTTCGATGTGATAGCTCATAAATAGGTAAACGAAACCTATTTACGAGCAGATCAATTACGAACTATCACGTCGAGAGTTATGAGAAAAGATTATGAGATTGGATTATGGACCCAATATATATATATTTTAAGATCTATGTTAATAAATATTTTCTAAACATTATTAAAGCTTGTTTTAAGAAACATTTTAAGTTTTAGTTTTTCTAGACACTAATAAAGATAACCATCGATGCTTTTATTCGATTAATAATTTTAGAGTTTAAGAGAATAATTGAGATACATATAAATTCGTTCGAATACCTTAGTGAAAAAAAAAAAAAAAAAAAAACCCTTGTTTCAATACTAATTTTATATGTATATGGAATTAATATGAATTCATGTAACTAAGATTTTATTAATCATAATATATTCGAGAAGTGCTCTTCAGTGTATGTGCATCACTATTCTTCTTTAGATTTTTGTCATTTGAAAATTTTTAGGAGCTGACACGTGTTAGACGGTGGTGTAAAAGTGGAAGTGTTCTGGTTAAAAGTTAGAAGCTGAGAGGATCCACGAATACGATTGAAAAGTCGGCTCCTCGTATTGGATTTACAATGACAGACTGTCACCCAAAATTGAAAGAAAGGTAATTAACTATTTGACACGTTAAGCAATCTCAACCATTGAAACGAGTGAAATTAGGTAGAATTAGAACCACAAGCAATGCCCACAAGCGTTACAGGACCGTCACTCTAGATTCAAGTTGTTGGACTTTTAACTGGCAATTGTGTAGAATACTAGAATTAGACTTGTGTTAACATAAAGGTTAAAATGGTAAAAAGAAAAATAATATTAATGCCATAATTCCTTGATATATATCTTTTCAAAAATCGAAATTAAAAGTATACCTCCTTGATAAGGAAGTTAGTTAAAATTGGTTGGAAAATTGTTAAAGAGAGGTTAGATGTGTATTTCTAATTAAACTTCAATTAAGCTATCCTAAACAATATCAATAGATTTTTTTTTTTTTTTTTTTTTTGGTAAACAGACCAATCTCAAAGGTTTATTGAATACTCTATAAACTCAAAAGATCAAGTAAATTATAATGTTATTGTGGTAAATAATTTCGAGGTTTGAACCTAAAACCTCAAGGAATTGAGCAAACTTAAATAATATTAATAGTTTTTCAATAGTATGAAACCTTTATATTCAGAATGTGTTTTCTACATAAAGCTAAAAAATTTAGGGATAATACTATCTTTCCAAATTTTTGTAGACAAACTTTTTCATATAAACTGATATGATCAAAGATGATCTAGTGATTTTAAATTAAAAATAAACTTTTACCCAGTTATATTTTATTATATTAATTTGTATGAGAACGTTTGTAAGTGTTGTATTACTATAAATTTATTGTCTAATTGGTAAGCCTTATTTATTATTAAAATAATTTTAGTGTCAAAAGTTTGTTTGGTTACATTTCAAGAAGAATATATTAGTAATTATTTAAAGTTTTTTTTTTAAAATGTTAAAATATCTAAAATATCCTCTAATATAATTTAAAATAAAAAAGATATATTATTTTATGAATTGAAAATGATTTATTTTTTTATTGTTTGAAATTGGCATGTTATAGTTTAACTAAACATAAACATTAAATTGATAAAATGTTACAAATTTGAAGTTGTACACGTGATATATTTCTCATAATAAATTTCATGTTTTTTTTCAATATTAATACCTTCAGTTTTTGTGAAGAGGGGATTATTCCCTGCTTCACATGTTTTGACTTTTGACCAAGAAAATAAATGACTTTGAGCTTTTGAACATTTTTTAGTCACTCCATTAAAAGTCAATTTTAGATATTTTTATTCATTTCACGTTTAATGAAATAGTCTAGCGACTCTAGTGGTGGAAAAATGACCCGCCCGACCTGACCCGCAGTGGGTTATAGGGGTTGGCGGGCCGGGTTAGGCTCGCCTCTTGGCCAGAAAGGCTGGCCCAACCCGACCCACCAACCCTAACTGGGCGGGTTATGATGCGGGCCGGGCTGGGTTAGCCCATAATTTCTTTTACTTAATTTTTTCTTTTGTGTAATTGTTTTTAGTTAACTTTTCAAATATCAATAATTCAATTAAATTATTTTTTTTTTGTTAACATTTCAAATATTAATTTGATTTTAATACAGTAAAATTGTAATATAAGAAAAATTAGATTTATTCATTTATCAAAAAATCAAATAAGTAATTACAACAATTATTGCCTCGTTAAAAACCTTACCAAGAAAAACCCAATAGAACAAAAACTTGGTAAGGAAAAAAGAGTGCAATAATTGACAATTAATTTACAAGTTACAATTTACAAAACAACTAATTTGGGGGTTGACTAAGACCTCCTTCATCCGTATTATCTATATTACAAAATTGAAATGATTATATTAAAATATCGTCGACAACCTCGTATTGATCATGATGACGCGACCATCCCCAATCTCGAAGACATGTGAGGACTTCAATCATTTTTTGTGAAAGTTTAGTCCTCTTTTCATTTAAAATTCTTCCACTTGTACTAAATGTTTGTTCGGATGAGACGGTTGAGACATGAACAGGGAAAACATCTAAGGCAAGTCTTGAAAATACCGAAAAAATACATTTTCTAGTTTTCCAATATTCTAAGACATCAAAGTTGGCTCTTTGTTGTGGATCTGCTGGTAACACTTCGGGGGTTCCCAAATATTGGTGAAGCTTATTACTCTGTAACTGCATGGAGGACAATACATTCGTTGTTGGTGCTTCTGAAGAGGAGGCTGTGCTTCGGGTTTGGGTCCTCTTCGGCCTATTTTGTGCACTCTAGGAGTCGAAGTCTTCATTTGTTTCTTCTGATGCAACTTCCCTAGGTATTTCGCCTCTTTGCTGGTTCTCATACCTGTTTTCATATTGCAAATATACCTCTGCAAGACACTCTCTTACCTCTCCTAGTTGATTGGTATATGCTTCGTTTTATAAATTTTCAGTTAATGTGGCTAAACCATTTTCTAAACATGTTACTTTAATTCTAGGATCGAATGTAACACCTAAACAATAAAGAAAAGGAATAGGTTTCCAATATTAATTTTTTTTTTCCATTGCCTTTATTGGTCTCCCTAAAATTTCATTGTTTCTGTTTTTTCTAAATAAATCTAAAATTTTTATAATTGTATGTATTACCAATAGACTAGTAAGATAATACACACCAGAAAGTTGTAAAGTGGATTGGTAAAATTTTTTAAAAAAAGAATGAAAATTTTTAGCTATATGCCAATCATTTTCTACCAAATAATGAGGACATCTATTATTTGCTACAAAATAACAAATTAAATTTGCATAAGGTAAACATGAATCAAACATTAAATAAATACTATTTCATCTAATAGACATGTCTAATGCAAAAGTTCTAGGAGACATATTTGATTTTATACAAGCATCTTGAAATTCAACATTTCTTTTATTACTATTAATAATCTAAGCTAAAGAATCCATAATTCCATCAATATTATCTCTAATTGTTTTCATACCACTTTTCACAACTAAATTAATAATGTGACATGCACAACGTCGGTGAAAAAACTTCAAATTATCATAAAAGGATAATTAATTTTAAAAAAATCAAGAGCTGTACTATTAACACTTGCATTATCTAAAGTTAAACTCATCACTTTATTAATAACATCATAATCTTCTAAAACTTCAACAATTTTATTATAAATGTGTTGACCACTATGATCCACATCCATTAATCTAAATCCCAATAAAGATTTATTTAATTTACATTCGTTATCAAAATAATGACTAGTCACACAAATACAATCTTGTTTAGCTCTACCACTCCAAATATCGGCTGTTAGAGCCACACTAACATGACAACTATGTATTTTATTTTTTAATTTTAATTTCATTTTCACAAACAATTTTATTAAATCATTTCTGGTTGCAGTTTTAGAATAACTTTTAAATCCTAAAAAAAATGAATTTTTAATAAATATTTCAAAATATTTATCTTCAGCCATATTAATAGGTTGATCAGTTGCAGCAATATATAAAACTAATTGTTCCTTATATATATCAGAATTATAATGCCAAGTAGTACCCATATTAGTTATTTGAGTTTGATTGGTTTATGTATTTCCATGTTGAGTAATATGTTTATTAGTATGCATTTTTAAAGTACTAGTACCATTACCTGAATCAGCTTTATAAATATTTCCACAATACTTGCATCTTGCTTCTTCACTTGAACTCCATTTTCTGTCTCATAAAACTTATTGAAATGCACCCAAACGTCTGATGTGT